TGCTACGCCGAAAGACGCCGACACAAGGAATTCTTTGACTCCTTGAAGGCGGTGTATGGACCGAAATTGGAGCCCTTGCGGACGCTGATCGATGGTTGTTCAGGCGCTACCTGTAAGCAAACTGCAGACGTATTGCAGATCTGCCAAAAACATTTGACTGTCTCTTGTTCGTTCATAGATCGAGTGGCCTACTTTGAACAGCCTCAAGCAGCATGACGTGAAGGCGAGCCTGGCAGACATGCCGACACTGGATGAGACGCAGACAGCACTTGCTCAGCTGCGAAACGGCAACTGTGAGGTGCCGACGGGATCCCGACTGAAGTATTGAAACACGGCGGACTGGCGTTGTTGACTGCGCTGCAACACTTGATGCAACGCGTATGGATTGAGGATGAGATGCCTCCTGAGCTGAAGGATGCCCTAGTGCTACCACTGTACAAGGGCAAATATAGCAAGCAACGTTGCGCGAATTATCGCGGCATCAACTTGCTGAGTTGTGTGGGCAAGGTGACTGCCCGAATCCTGCTCAACCGCTTTGTCAGTCAAGTTGTGAAACCTAACGTGGCGGAAGAGCAATGTGCATTTCGTTCGGGTCGCCGCACTATAGATATGGTGCTTGGGACTCGTTAGTTGCAGGAGATGTGCAGAGAACGACACCAGCCATTGTACTCGCTGTTTGTTAATTTCACTAAGGCATTTGATACGGGGAGCCGCGAGGCATTGTGGCTGGTGTTGGGTAAGTTTGGTTGCCCGCGTAAGAGTGTAAGTTTAATTGGATGTCTGCACAGTGGTACGCGAGCGAGGGTGCAGCTGAGTGGAGAGACCTCGGATGACTTTGCAGTTGTCTCTGGTGTGAAGCAAGGCTGTGTCTTAGCTCCTACTCTGTTTAATATATATCTTCATGCAATGATGTCTTGTGCTTTTGATGCCGCTTGTGCTTACGGTGTTCGTGTGGAGCACCGTATTGATAGTGGGTGGATGAACATCCGTCGTTTCCGTGCGAGAACTCTAGTCTGTGAGACAACTATCCGTATGTTGCTGTTTCCTGACCACTATGCGTTGTTTTCACCCAGAGTGGATGAGTTGCAGCATATGACTAGTGCTCTGGCTTCGACAGCGGCCAAATTCGGGCTCACCATCAACACAAGCAAAACTGTCTGTCTCTTTCAGCCTTCACCGGAGGTGCAATCTTCAATATTGCCGCAAATCAGCATTGCTGATGAGGTTTTAGAAATCGCCACCCGCTTCAGCTACCTTGAGAGTGTGATGCCGACTGATCAGCAGCTACACAGTGAGCTTCGTATCCGCGTCTCGAAGGCAGTGGCATCATTCGAGAAGCTAGAGTACCGAGTGTGGAACAACCATCGGCTTACCGTTAGCACCAAGCTGATGGTAGACAAATCCATGGTGCTGTACGTTCTTCTATACTGCAGCGAAACGTGGACGATGTACCGGCGCGATGTGCGATATCTCGAGCGGTTCCATCAACAGTGTGTGCGACGGCTTCTGCGCATTGATTGGTGCGACAGAGTTGCAGACACGGAAGTGTTGCGACAAAGTGGGATGTATGCAGTGGACTGCATACTTTTGCTGAGACACCTGAGGTGGCTCGGTCATGTGAGCCGAATGGATTCGACGCGGATACCGAAACAACTCTTATACAGTCAGCTGAGTGTTGGGAAGTGGCTTGTGGGGAAACTAAAGTTACGCTACCAGGACATGATCAAAGTGAGCCTCTCACGTTCTAATCTTGATTGCTGGTCATGGGAATCGAAGGCGGTTGATCGGCGTGCATGGCGCAATCTGCTCACGAAGGCAGTTGCCGAATTGAAGGGGAAAGAGCTCACGCGTGCAGAGAGGAAGCGGCAAGTGCGGAAGCGACATGCACCGATGGGTTCTACTCCATCGACATCGAGTGCATGGTGCTGTAGCACATGCGATCGCGAGTGCCTGAGTCAGGCAGGCCTAGTGAGTCTTGAGTGAGGTCACTCGGGAGCATCACCGAAACGACGATGGGTCCTGCAGGCAAGGTAGACAGAACCAGCGCAACGTTTGTAGGTACGCTGCATTCGATTTACCAACCGCGTGCTTGCATGCTAAGTCTCTTTATTCCAGGTGGTGGGTTTGGAATTTTGCCCTAATGCTTTTTATATCAATGTCTACCTGAGCTATCTTCTATAAACTTGTACAAGTTGCTAAATCTAATTGTGGTTAAGTTCGATGACAAGTTCGCGTTTGGGACACTTCCTTAAAATATACTTCCTGACCTCTTGAATTGATCGCAGATTCGTTCGTCTGTATGAATTACCCGATTTGCTTTATTTCGTCTTG